CTGTTCTCCTGATTCACCTCCTCTCCAAACTTTTCTCCTCTGACATCTTCCTGGACTGAAATGTCAGGTGTGGGGTAAGTCAGTCCCTTTCTCTGATCTTGCCCAACATCACAGGATGGTGTCTGTTGTGATCGGGGACCAACTGGCTCGGAGCAGCAGCCTGCCCATCAGCAGATCTGCTAGCTAACTGACAAGCTAATAGATAAGGCTGTCATATTAGCATGCCGGCAACTCCTCCCCTACAAAATTAGCTTGGGTAATGATAATAATTACAGATGAAGGTTGAATCCTGTCTCTGCTGGCAATGGGTGAAATTGGTTACTGCCTGATAGATCTTTGTTGAGCCAAGGAAAATGAATTGATGTTTTTGGTTCAGTTCCTGAGACATGAGTTTCTACAGCACAGGAATTCACCTATGGGGGCCACCTTCACTGCCAATCTCAATGGTGGCTTGGAAACATGTGGGCTTGGCTGCCCACTCATAACATCAGCTAGTCCTCACCAAGGAGGGCTGGACCCCAAATAGGATATAAAGTGGATCTTGCTGTCTTGCTTGCCCAGACATACCCACAGTGTAACCAAAGGGGAGTGGGATGTCATCTGCTGCGTCGGCAGAGAGGAGAGTGTGAGCAAGTCCTGGAAGTGGTAAGCAGTCAGAAACACAAACAGTAGATGAGGTGACACGTTTATAATGTGTTATGAGCAACTGAGGGAACTTTGCTTCTATATTCCTCAGCAACCTAAGCCCAGCCCAAATGACTGAAAAGCTCGCATCCAGGAAAGCATTCCCCATCTGAGGCTTCACAAAGCTGCCATATCACCAGATCCATTTCTGGCTCTGGGCAAGCTGGACATCCCTTGGCCCAGGAGGAATGAGTTTGTTTGGGAGCTGTCGGATATTAGGGCATGTATTTCCACTTCTTCCTGGAACATCACTGGGCAGGAGACCATAGAGCAGTCCTCACTCTCTTCTGGGGGCTCTGCTCTGTGCCTCCTTCCAGTTCCCTCATTTCACTGATCCTTTGACAGCCAATTCCTTCTCTCTGTTGTTTGCTGACCTTTGCGCTCACCATTTTCTCATCTCTCTCTCCCCTTCTTTTCCCAAGGAGGCTTTATTTTTGGAGTTTGCCTTTTATCTAGTGCTCACAATGCAATCCAGTAGGGCAGGACCTGATGCTGGAGAGCCGAGTGCTGATGGTGTGAGACAGCAGAAACTGGTGCAGATGGTCTCCACTGTTATTGTACATCACGCACACACTGTTACAAAAGAGGCACTGGGCTCTGGGTGGCTAAGAAGCTTTGGCAGAAGAGCTCAGTCCCTGTTACTATGGCTAATGTGGAAACAGCAAATACCCTTGCACTGCTGCAAAGTGACTCACAAGATCATGGCACAACAGATTATGTTTTGTCCCCACTATATGTTGTGACACATTGCCATATTCAATACCTCTGCAAGCAGAAAGACTAAAGGGCAGGCGTTAATACACACACACAAAAAAAAGGGCTATATTGCCAAAGGGGCTCAGACTAGTGGAAGGGGAAATATTTACTCCTTTGTGATTCTGTCCATGCCAAAAAGTGCGCTGTGAGGCATTATGTACTGGCTGAGCTTGGAGAAAGTCAGAGCAAGGCTTGCAAAGAGTATGCCTGCAAGGATCGGTTTTCTAGTGCTACTGCATGGATCCATATGGGGGCCAGAGCCACAGAAAAAGTGAATTCCTGCAGGCAGCAGGGCTGTGATCAGAGACCTGGTGAGTAGGGACATTCGACCTACTCCTGCCTTTGGCCCAAAGCCATGGATGGTTCAGTAGCTGACTGATGCCTTGTGTTCAAGACAAAGGGAATGTTATGAAAGAGTACAGGGGAAGACAGGAAAAAAAAAAAAAAAAAGAGGTGGAACTAAAGAAACTACAGGGTAAATACAGTTACATGATATGGACCTGTTTTTATATTGCAAAGACTGTGGAGTTCTTGGGTCCTTTCAATGCAGCATCAAAAATATTATAGCTAGATAAAGAGGTGGACGTGTAGACAAACAGCACAATTAATGGGATTTATTTGGGTCTGAATGATGTGGATGTCATGCCTCTACAGATTTTGATTGTCCTGTTTTGCTGTTTTCACTCAACAAAGACCATTCTGCTACAGGATATAATGCTGGGAACCCACATTTGAGTTTTTTGTGGAGTATGAAAGAGTATCTGAGAGCAAAATTCAGGCTTTAAACAATATATTGCAAGTCATAATCATAGCAAGACTATGGTTATGTACATAACACTGCAGCACTCTTGGCCACTTTCAGAATGAGAAATATACTATAAAAGAAAGTTGTTTGGAAGATGCTGACTTTGGATGGGGACTGGCATGTTTTTTTCTTCTCTATAATTTTAGTGCAATTGCATGCTCAGCTTTATTATTTTATTTCTACCCTTACATTTAGAAACACAGACATGCAGAACCACAGGTCAGTGCCAGTAACAGATGCTACAGAGGAAAGTGTGAAAAATCCCATAATGAACAATGATGGAATAAGCTGCCCAGTGATGAAAATTTCTTTCTAACCCCAAGCAATTAGTGGCTGGCTTATATCATAAAGCATGAAGGTTTGTGTCCTTTTTACATTTTTATCCAATCTAATGTGACTGTGGATGTTCTCATTACCCATATAAATGTCTAATCCTTTTTTTTTTTTTTTTTTTTTAAATGCTGCTAAGCTCCAGGCCTCGATGAAACCTGTGGCAAGGAGTAAAGTTTTGGAGAGTGCATAAATGCTCACAAGAAGGAAGGGAGTACGATGGAGCAAACGTATGGTGTGTCCTACACCCAAACTGCTACAAAGCAACTTCCTTCCAATGTTTCCTTTTCCTTACTAGTGAGAACGGGCAGAAGTAAAATGAGAGGTGGGGGTTTGGCCTTCTGCTGTTCCCTCTACACCTCTGCTGTAACTTAGGGTGTCCCTAAGTTATTAGGAAGCTGAGGACCGAGAAAGACCACTTTATAGCTGAAGGAACATCAAGATAAATTCAAATTTTACTCAAAGCAGACTACTTGGATGTCAGCCTCTCTGCCGGCAATGCGGTGGAGCAGGACTGTCACCTTTCAGTGTGTGAGGCTGTTGGTGTTTGTGCAGGGACTTACTGTGAATTTCTGGCTGAGCAAGTCTCTCCAAAACTCAGAGAGAATCAGATTAAGGCCATTGACTTATATAATCATGGATGAAATACCTAACTGAAAGCTTTCTTTAATTACGGGGTATTTGGAGACAGTAACAAAAGCTCAAGTCATTAAGATTAATCTAGAAATATCATCTGTTCTCTGATCTCTGCAGTAATGGCTCATGGAAGATTAGCTAAAAGGAGCTAGATAAAGCAGAAAAAAGATAGAGATAGAAATGGATGAATAAACAGAGAAATGATAGACTGGCAAACAGGTAGATACTTAGATAGATGGATAGTTGAACAGATGGCTGTATTTATATAACCTTAAAGACACGGTGCTCTCTTGCTGCTGTGGCTGAGCTCACCGAGCACACTAAGGACTCCCTCCAACTTTCTGATGCCTCTGTAAGCCTCCATGAGCTCCCCATCCCTCTAAGCTGCTACAAACATGTATATGCATGCCTAACTTTTAGCACAGTAAAGCCCTTAATTTCAAGGGCCTGATTAAAGTTGAACTTGTGGCTAAATGTTTACAAGGTGGGGAAGTGGGAAATTAAAATTATCTTTTCAATACTCTTGCCATTTCTAGTCTTTCCTGTGCTAATTCATGCATTTTTTTTTCAGTGACATTTTCTGAGCAGTAACTATCTAAGACTTTTGTATTTCTACATTGTGATTTATTTTTTTTTCTTGTAGCTCATAAAGCCCCCTGTGATGTTGAATCTTCTGAGTGTCCAGGACTAGCTGAGACCAAATTTTCTCAGGGGTTTCATGAGCTTTTTGGCTGGGGCATCTGACTCATTGTTCAATTTCCTAACACACTAGATCAATCTATGAGCACCCCATGGTAAGATAGTCCTTTGCCAGCTGGTGGCCGGGATCAATTAGTAACATTTACTTAAATTTTCATTGTTATGGTTGTTATTATTAGTATGCATAGAGAAGTGGTAAGGAATGTCTTTCTAGCAGAAAGGAGAGGGCTATCTCAAAACCAGAGGATGCTGAAAAACTGTAGGTGCAGATTAAGGACTTGTAAGCTCCCGAGTTCTTGGTGAAAACAGTCTAAGAGTGTCTATGTATTCGTAAGTACAAGTATAGAGGTAGGTATGTATCCTTTAACTTTCTTCATTCATGCTTGACTGCTAGGGCTTGCAAAATCACACCTTCAGTACTGGCACCTTTTGAGTCAGTCACAGTCTGTGGGTGAAACTGAGCCTGTTCTGTGGCTGTATTAAAGGAGCTTCAGTCTCCAGGCCTGGTAAGACAACAGGCTTTGGATGCAGTGAGTGTTTTGGAGACCAGGACTTACTGCCTGTGCACATGATCTGAGATATGGAGCCGTGTGGGTCAGTAGCCATGTGTACCCTCTGGGCTTGACCTCACAGATCCATCCAGCTGCAAGGGAATCCCAACTGGTGATACCAATGGTGGGTGCTAGAGGATGCAAACAGGCTTAGCACAGCTCATTCAAGGCTAGCCAGGAGCAAGACCCTTGGGAGTACTGCTAGGAGACCTGCCAGCATGAACTGGCCAGGTCTCTGCTGAAGCAAAACGTGCTGGGTGTCCTGATTGTATTCACTAGAAGTTGTCCAGCAGATGGGCATTCAATTATTCTGGATAAAAATTTTTCACCTCCAACATGCCGTTGATGTCTTTCACCTAGATATAAGTGTATGACATCTGTAGCTGGATAAGACCTAAGTGCACCAATGCTAGAGAGTGCCTTGATGGTGTGAGATATAATCTTTCTGAGGTGGCTCATGCTCAACAAAGCCTGTGTATGAGGACAATCCCCTTAAGACTGAAGGAGCAGGCTGTGGGCACAGCACTGGTCTGGCTTACCTGGGTAAGGGTGGATGCCATTAGCAAACACGGCTTCTGCGGCGGGCTGCCCATTAGCCTGCGGCGGGAGGCCAGTGAAACCATTCACCCCAATTGGAGATGGGATGCTAGGCACAGCTGGTGCAGTTATGCCAGGAGGCGTGCTTCCACCTGCAGGTGGGAAGGACACACAAAATCAGAGCTGGAGAGAACTGGAAGCAATAAATACACAGAGAAAACTACTGGCACAACAGCTGTGACCCCCACACGGAAGCCTTCTGATAATCCAAGACACGAAAAGCCTCCCAAGCTGTCATGCAAAGAAAGGGACTCCTCTATTTGGAAAGCATTAGAGAAAGGCTTGCAAAACATTCTTCAACAGAATGAAGCTTGTGCTTGGTGATCACGGTCTCATTGCTAACATCAAGCAATAGAAGAATATAGAAACATCACCCTTCCTCCTCAGCTTTCTCCCTGGAGTATTACCTGCTTAAATTGCTAAATAAGGAGACACTTCTTTCCTAGATATCATTTAACACCAGAAACAGATTCTCAGTCCCACCTTTCTACAGCAGTTCTTCTGTTTCTCTTTGGATATGTCAGATTTGTGGACGTACCAATTTCCAGGACTATTTTGTCTATACTCTCTCATGAATACACATTTCACATTCAACTCATCCTGAACTTTCTTAGTACCAAAGAACCTTAAAAGGTTTGGCAAGCTGATTTGTAGCCAAGAGACAGCTGGTGATATGGGGTTTTTTGCTGTCACTGATTGGCCCAAACTTGACTCTGCAGAGTTTCAGCAGAGATCTCCCACTCAACGGGGGCAAAATTTGGGCTAAATTTCTCTCTTTCATAGGATCGTACTCCTCTCCTTCGTCCCGGATGCTTCCTGTTAATGCTGTCAGTTCAGAAGAACTGAGAAGAATTTAGTCTTTATGGTTTGGGTGGGATCCCATCACGCACTGGTAGAGAATTCTTAAATTTCTGAAGAGAGAATTAAATCCCCTTGCTGCCTCATTGTCTTCTCCTATGTATGTTTAAAATGACTGGGCAGTCTGCTTCTTGCAACATATTCAGGATATTTTGGAGGGCCAAAAATGATTTTTAGTAGTTATGAAATTGTATTTTTCTCTTGCTAGCTGTCGGTGGAATGTTAAACTATCTTATTTTAAGGAATAACTTTCTGAGTCAGGTTATAGTACTGATTGAAAGCACCATTTTTGCAGTAACCTCTTTTTTAAACCAATTGCAGAAATTTTCTTTACCATAGCAACATTCCACGATGGTTTGGTCCAATAACACACTTTAATGACTGCTTAAAATCTGTGTTGGTGCTTTAAGAAAGCCAATACAAATGCATGAGATATTTTAATATGTTCTGATTTGAGCAGCCCCAAAAGCAGGCAATATTTCAGCTCTTTTCTTATACCCTGAGCAGAGAAGCTGCTTCTTTCCCTTTGCTTATTTAAATGGTGTTGGCCTTTAAAAATACCCTCTGTGGAGGCACAGGGAGCCAATAGTGGCAACTGAAGTCCAAAGGCAATGCTCTTAGCATATGCCATCAGCTTGCAAATCACAAAGGCTAGTTAAAATTTTAGTTGCTTTTCTGGATCTCTCCTTTATTTGCATAGACAATGTAAGTAATTTTTTCTAAAATTGCAGCAAGGGATTTGCGCTTGCTATTTTGTGCATGTCTAAGGAGTTTAGGCATATTCATTGCAATTCTTTAATTTTCTTCTTATAAAGAACCCCCCTGGAGAGGTCAGATCTGTAGCTGGAGTAAAACTGGCATAATGCCACCGCAGAGAACAAATGGCAGTGGTGCATGCCAGTTGTGGGTTTCATGCCTGGTTTGAGATCTCTTGCTGAAGCTACACCAGTTGCAGATTTACAACATGGAGGGAGAGAAGAGAAGGAAGGAATCCTAAATGAAATTTCATTTCTAGGCTCCTGTGCAATGAACAGAGGGGCAGACCCACTGCAGACTAACTTTTCACCCTGATTATAAAAATGATGGGAGAAATGCAAAACTTGAATGAAACTTTCAGACACGTCAATTTAATTGCCTTGCAATTACAGACTGTTGTGTGAGATAAACCTGACTCCTGATGGGGAACCGTCAAAATGCCAGTAGACAGCATAAAGCCTTTATGATCTGAATTAATCACTGGGACTACCTACTGCTCACCATGGACTAGTTTAAACTACATGTCTAACTTTTGTACTGCTGAAGCCAGGTCAGATGGATCCTGTCTCTAGTCTGTTAGATTTGCCTGGATCCGCAACTCTTGAAGTACTCAGGTCCAATGGGAACCTGTGAGTCTGAATGAACTCGTGGCCGTGCCCCAAGAATCCCATTCCCCTATAGGTGGGATGCACAGAAAACCAGCTGGATTAGGAGGCCTGAAGATACCAGCATAGAGGCACTGCGCTCAGCCAATACCTCCAAAACCTCTAGGACTTCTGGGTTACTGGTCTCCTTTTTCTAGCACAATTTTTCTTTTGCTTAGGAAAGATCAAAACACTTTTTTTTTTTCCAATGTTCCAAACACTTTTTGTAATGCCTGTTTTTCAGAGGACTTTGAAATGTTTCATTTTCATTCCAAGTCAGAACAAAGATATACTTCAATGACTGGAAATCCTGCTATGAAGCAGAATGATCATTTTCCATTTGGCTTTCTGAATGCTAACAAAAGCCAGCAGGAGAATTCATGTTAGGCTTCAGATATCTCCTGGCTACTCAGAAATCGCTGCTAGTGTTGTAGGCTTGCTTGCTCAGACGTTATGTGAAACATTTTCTGTGCGCCTTATCACAAGCTTTGTGAGTGTTATAGTAATACAAGGAATCATTTCAAAGTCTAAACATTTCACCCAAGGAATAATTGTCAATGGACATTTCCACAACCCATTACAGAGGTTTTTCATGAAGGAAGCTACCCATTCAAGGTAAATCTGCAACAATGCCAAGGTGCACAGGCTTCATGATTGAAAATATGTCATAAGGAGAGTGCAAAATCTGCCACCATGAAAGAGATCAAGGGATCATCTAAACCAGCATCTTATTTTTAATAATGACCAGTCTCGGTGCTCTGGAAACTATGCAAAAAACATGAGGCTTCCTTTCCTGTATTCTGACAATAAGAGTTTAACAGTCCCCAAAAAGGCACCGGGCACATCAGAAGAGGAGCAGAACTCGCACTGAAGAAAGGTTGGGATATTTTTCATGTGCTGGATGTCATGGCAGGCACAGAATTTGGCTGTTGTACTGCTATTTACACACCTATGTCACAGAACTCGCTCATTCTCAAGACTTATTTATATGCAAAAGAGCTTGTGCTCTTTTGTGGTGAGGCCATCACAAACCACTGCCTGGATTCAGCTTTCCAGGCCCTGAGAGCATTTGAATTCCAGGCAGTCTTTGTTTGACTCTCTCTGCTCCCACCAACACAAAACAAATCTAGCTAATGCAAATATGATAATCTTTCCAGCAGCAGGTTTAAAGGGTGCACATATAATTAAGCCACTTTTCTATTTGGATTTGCAGTAGCTCCATCGACTTGTTGTTTATACATTTATCATTGTGTAAACATATATCTCGAAAACTGTGGTATAAGATTTTTGAGTCAAGCGCTTTTCCTTGGCTCTCCAAAGTTCATGTGGAATGAGATCGGCCTTTTTCTCCATTTTTTTTTTCTCCTTCATATTCTAATGCAAGCAAAGGAAAAGATACGTATCTGATCAGTAGCTGCTGACAGCTGTTCCCAGCTACGGACTGCAAAGAGATGCTAAACTAAGCGTGGACAAGGAGGTTTTCTTTGGCAGACAGGTTAGCCGAGCTCAGCTCATTAGGAAGGGCCCCCAAACCTCTACTGCTGTGGTGCCTGGTCTCACTGCCACCCATTTCTGAGCCAGGAGGCATCTTTCCTGGCTACTTTGTCAGACAGCCTTTTTCTGCTCCAGATTTCTCCATGTTTGGCAATGTAGCTACCTCTTTCCTCTCTTACTGCTCTGCTTTGCAGGAGTCCCAGCCCCTGCTCTGCCCAGTGCTGCAAGCACCAGAGCTGGCTCAGGCAGAGCTTGCTCCTCTCATGTCTCACCCCAAACCTTTGTCAAGCCAGTCCTCTCCAGGCCAGCTTGATGCTTCCAGGTTCACACACGGGCACTGGCATATTTCTGAAAACAGTCCCATCCCCAGTGCCTCTCAGAGGAACAACCTGCATCACCCTAGGGAGAATTTTAACCCCATCTCTCCCTTAGAAAGGGTCCTCCAAACATGTACCTTAGAGTGCTCTGCTTCCCTACCAGAGTCCGTGGTATGTTGCAAAGCTGTCAAAATTCTCACTTCTTTCCTCCCACGGTTTGGCCTCACTTTCCCTGCTGCCCTACTTCCCTGCTGATAGGCCACGTGCTGCTACAAGACTGCCAGCCCTGTCAGTTCCTTGGCTTGTTCCTCCTCAAATGGTTTCCTTCTGCTTCAAGCCCCAGGAAAGCCAGTGTTGTTTCCTCCTCATCGTCCTCCTCCTTCCATCTCTGTACACTGGATCACACACTGAAGCTCCTAGCATGGGCTTCTTGTGACACCTCACATCCTGGCCAGATCCTGGCAGCCCTTCACTGATTACCTGTCTCTGTTCCAGAAACCCTCTCACCAAACACTTGCATTCCAGGTAGCACCAGAAGTCTTCCATGAGTACCTTCTGCTCTGTTTCACAGTAGGGAAAAGGCTTATGTGTCCCAAAGACATAGCTCATCTTGTTAATGATATTGAGTCTCACCACAAACCTTATTATGTTTGTCTTTGGACCAGCCTGACTGTGATAGCACCAGCACTGACCCCTTGGACCTCTACACGCACCACCATGCAGGTCACTGGGGGATGTTTTGTGCCATTTGTGCTCAGAGCTAAAGGAAAGTTGTGTGAGGGATAAGGCTGAGAGGAAAGGGTCAGGGTTGGGAGCCCAGTGCCTTCCATGCCAGCACCCTTCCTCCTCCCCAACAAGACCTTTGCATCCCAGCTCTGGTGGATCTCAACCCTCTGGCTCTCCTTACCCACCAGTCAGTGCCACTCGGCATGGGGCACAGCTAGCCCAACAGCCCACTGTTGCTTGGACTTTGCCCTTAGAGCTATTTTATGACACGGAAGCTGACCCCCAGCTGGGCCCAGCCCTGACAGAGGTGGTAACAGCCTTCCTCTGCCCCTTTTCCAGGCCACAGAAAGATCTGATTGACTCTACCCCTCACCCCTGGTGGCCTTCAACAGCAAGACCAACATTTCTGTAAACACCCACTGGGGCTGAACATGTCCACAAACATGTCCTGCCAGGTCTCCACTGGGATGTGGCCAGATATTCCTGCCCCTCACCCTCTCCGTGGGCCGCCACCCCTGCCTCCAGCGCCTTACCTGAGGTTGGTGTCATGGGGGCGGCCGCCAGGCCGTTCATGTTCAGAGCCGCCATCTGTTGCATCTGGGCGGCAGCAAAGGCTGCCATGGGGTTCAGGTAGCCACCCTGCGCCACGGAAGCCATGATCGCGGCTTGCTGCTGCATCAGCTGGAACAAAGAGAGCAGGGAAAAAATATCACGCAGTCACCAGCAGGACAGCCCACAGCACCTGCACCGGGATGGGGACCCAGTGAGGGGGTGAGGCATCCCTCTGTCCGGAGATGTCAGCTCACCACGCCTGTGGTACCCCCCAGCCTTGGCCTTCCTTCTTGCTATAGGGGTTGGAGGGCAAGAGCATCTTTGCATCTTGAGGCCTTTATGGTCCCCAACCCAACAGTGTGTTCCCCAGTGTGATGGTCTCCCATAAACTGGACGCAGTCCTCTGAATACCTGGCCCTTTTCTGATGTGAAAGGCAGAGAAAAAACATTGTAAGTTCTTGAGCAGAGAGGTTTCATGTCTTACGTCGCTTCTTAGAAAGCACTGGTGGATGCTGATAGGAGACCAATGTATGTGGAGCGGTGAGGAGGGGGATCCCCTCTCCAGAGCAGCAAGCTTAGCTAGTTCTCTGGGGATAACCAGATTTGTTTTAATCTGTCAATGCCAAAAATATTTTTTTTTTATGCTGCTGGGAGGCCACTGATGGGCACTGAGCAAAACCATGACCAAACCTTCTAAACAGATTACAGCACCTATTTCTAGCACAACCAAGCAGAGACTCCCAGAAGAGCTATACAAGAGAAGGGACGTCCCCTCCCTTAGCAAGATAATACTGTGTAATGGGAAACCCTTTCTCTGTGGTTTTGACCTGGGATGACTTCCTAAATTTTATTTTTTTTTTCCAGAAAGTGATCAAAATGCTCCTTCTTTTAGGGGACCTACAGAAGGCAGAAATGAGGAACCCAGGCTGTTTTTTCAGGCATTTGGGTGTAAACATTTTGGAGCAGAAGGGTGGTGAATTGTTATGCATGCCGGAAATGCTTCTTACATTAAAACAAGCATCATCAGACTTTACTATTATTATTTTACACTCTCAGCCTAGTACACAGTTGTTACAGTTTATGTGTTCCGTACGGCTGCAGTGGTGTGAAGGAGCTGTGTGAAGAGCCAGAAGAGGTATGTCTGAGTCTATGTCCATGTCTAACCCCCCACTAGAAACTGACGTTGGATGCTTAGAGAAAGTGTGGGGGAAAGAGGATGAGTAGAGAGAGAAACCTCACTCTGCTCATTCTCTAGCCACCAGTAATATGTGACTTGATGGTAATAGTGGAGAAGGAAACTGTTTTTCTGTAGTGATTTTAGAAGTGGCTCATGTCTTTGCTGTCTCCAGAACTGGAGTATCTTTGTTTTGCTGCTCTCTGTGATTTCACTCTATCATCTCCCATCAGGGAATCACCCTCTGATGGTGTTGTTTAAGTACACAAGACACGCTTCTCACCATTAAACAGACCTCAAAAGTCATGGCAAGAAGCAGACTGTTCCCTACTGTTTGGTTTAATAAAGAAATATTCGCTAGATTATTGGTGTTCATACATGTACACACCAATAGAAATCCTTGAAATCACTGTGCTGGTCCAAATGCTGAAACTTGCCTTGTCACCATCCGTAAAGAGACTGAAGGATGCTCTGCCCCTGACCTGCTGTGTAACCATGCACAAGTTGTGTAAACTTGCCTTGGTTTCTCCAGTGACAAAATGGGACACAGGATACCGGCCTCCCCATGCAGGAGTGCCTTCAGATCTACAGATGAAAAGTGCTGTGCTAGAGTTGAGTACTATTATTTTTTGTAGCCTGATGCAGACTGGTGGCAAGGTGGTGGCTTTCCCTTTGATTGTTAATTACCCTTTTTTATTATACCCCGCGTAAGACACTTTCACATTTTAATTAGTGATATCCTGTTCTTTGTAATTACTGATGGAGTGATTAGGCAATCTTTTCTATTATAGGACAATGCTGATATTCCCCTTTAAGGAGTACATTTTTTTCTAGACATCATTTGAGTTTATTCTCCAGAGGCACTGAGCAGGTGATTTTAGTAAGTATGCCAATGAAGTGAATGAGGAAGGGGGAATCCATCCATCTTTAACACTGGATTGACTCCAGTGCTGAGTGTGCTGACCCATGTCTCATTTTCTGTGCTGGGTATTTTCACCTGGGGACAGCTGAGTATATAACTGGCCATTCGCAGAAATGATGGCCAAGATCTGTGCCTATAGGAAATACCTAACTCTGCTGATCAAAGTAACATCTCTCTGAGATGGATGCAGTTGCAAGGGCTGGGAACAGCCCCAGTCTGGTCTTTGCTTGCTTTTCTCTGTGATCCTCCAGAGCTGCATGAACAAATCCACCTCAAAACATGGAATGACATATTCCCAGTCGTGTGTGTGCCCTGGTCAGTCTGGCTGGCACATAACAGCCTGGTATTTGTACCAGAGACCTCCTAGGGCAGGCAGGGAACTTCTTCTGGCATTATCCTTTGTCACATTTGGTAAACTCGATACAGATGGGGTTTCCTCTGAGCTGGTCATCTATTGTGGTCTATGTGACAACAGGCAAAGGAGCCTAAACCAAGATTCATCTCTCCCTTCTGTCCCCAAATGCCTCTGGGCAGATGAATCGCACCTTTGTTTCTCCCTGTTGACTATATGTGGAGCCCCAAGTGATCAGTTCAGCTGCATGTACCAACACAGTCAGATGAAATCATTCCCACTCCTTACTTGGCCAGTGGCACATATTTTTGGACCCTCTAAATGGTTCCCCATCATTTAAAAGAAAAGCGCTAATCCTTTTTTTCATTTGTATTTCACCTGTGCTGCAAGAGAAACAGGGCCCTATCTAAAATGTGCTGCATTGCCAATGGTAGTACAAATGATTGTGCTGCTCCAAAGACAATCTCCATTTTGCACTCAACTGAGCTAGGCAATCACTTATGGCATTATTTATAGCTTATGCAACTTTTTTTCCTGCTTATGGATGTCTCTAAGCTATTCAGAGTTAACTCCATAATGGCAGGTGCTCCTCCTGGTTTGCAAACCAGGTAACCTGAGGATGTGGCTTCCTGTGCATTCAGAGGGCTTATAAATTTGCTCTTGGCTACATGCATGCTCCTTTTGCAGTGTGATGTCATTAATACGTTTCTGTCAGATCTTCAGAAAGATCGTTTTCTTTCTGTCTCCCTATGAGAAGAACAAGATGATCCTAATCTGCTGATTAGTGCTGAAGGTGCAGGGTCTGCAGCCCGTAGCCTGGTGGGTTTCAGTGAAACAGTTGCTTAAAACTGGCCATACTCCCAGAGAGACTGAATTTAGAGCTTGAGGAGCAAAGAGGTTAAATTTAGCTTAGAGTGAAAAAGCTAATGCAGTAAAACTGAGGCCCTAACCTGTGATTTGGGAAACTAGATTCAGTTGCTTCTGCTACAGCAGGCATCCTGCAGGGAGCAGCCACCCCACTTCTTTTATGCTCAGTGCTCTGGGGGTACTCAAGATGCCTCAGAGACCTGGAAATCCCACTGGCATAGTGAAATGAACTGGAGACCTGTACTTCATGACCCAGAGTACACCTCACTGCAGCCTTCAGAGCCAGACCATGGGGTAGACCAGGGTCTTCTCCAGCACTGGAAGGAGCGTAGGATCCCATACCTGAACACAGCCCTATACCCCAGCTAACTGGCTTTGCTTCCTTTGCTAGAGAGAGGACCTCAACCATATCTCAGCCACATCTGGTCATCACAGCCCTTGGCAACCCTCCCGCCACCCTTCTGCTGTCATGTTCCTCATTCATGCCCTTCTGTCCCTGGTTGCAGCTGCTCAGGGATAAGTGTTAAAGGAGAAGGGGGGGAGGTCCTTCCCAGCTGCTGATGGCCACAGCCTGGCCAAGTGCAGCGGCATCGCAGGGGTGGGAGGATGGAAACTTGGTCACCTTGAAAGAAGCTGATGGTATAGACCTACCTCCTTCCCCGAGGGTGGCTCCAGGGAAATTTACAAAAGAAGGGCAAGTCCTGTAAAGGTCACCAGTCTCCCTTACAAAACCTCTGGGGCATTCCAAGGGAGCTCAAATAAAAGTCACCCCACTCCTTCCCCAGCTCCCCCTGAAGACAAATGTCCCATCCACTCTCCTTTCACTTTGAAAGAGGCCCAGTATATGGTCCCAGTTAATAAAGCTGTAGAAAGTGAGGCAGTGACCCCACCAGAGGCAAATCAATAGCAGCAGGGCCCCTGGGTATTGTGTACTTTAAAATATGCCATTTGAAATGCAGATTTTCCCTGCCTGGGTTGGGGCCACAGAGCACTAATCAGAAAGGCAGCAGCCTTATTATCTCAGACTGATCCAAGGGGACGGAGAGGAGCTTTTTCCTTCCTCAGCTGAAAGGACGTATTTCCTTTTGCCTCTCTTACTTAGTTGGCATGATCTTTACTTCAGCACTTAGAGCTTTTTCCCATCCAATTTTATAGATTTGTTCCCTCTTTCCTCCAACCTGGTTGTCACTATTGCTCAAATATTTATCTTCTGAGGAGACCTGGAGATGCTACCAAACTGGTTCCTACACATGGGCATCACCTCAAGAGTTACGAGCCTGCAGTCCACATCCCAAGGCTTAACAAATGATGGGGCAGTTGGAGAGGCACTGGTAAGGCCACCCAAAGTATGGGCAGGGGTGGTAGTGATGGCTGATCAACAGAGAGAGAAATGGGAGGTTTCAACTCATACCTCAACTCACACACCTTATTTCTACCTCAAGTATAGCCAGCTCTGTCATCAATAGATGAATAGACACCTCACATCCTATATGATGTGCATGGGAGATTAAAATAGAAAGCCAGCAAAGGATGAGGTTTTGCAGCACAGATGTGTCAATGCAAGAGATTGCTGATGCACCTCTCCCTCTCCATGTCTCACCACTGCCTTTGCACCAGGACAGATGCACACCTGATGCTGCTGAGGACCAGCTCTGTAGCAATACCAGAGGAGCTTTAACCGCACAGCACAAAATCACAATGCTTACTCCTACTTTTTCTACCAAAAGTGGTTCCCCCGTGTGGTCACTGTCAATCTAGAGGCATGGGGTGAGGACATGTGGCCAGAGATGGGGTTGGGAATAAGATGGCTGCCT